GCCATTCAAACTCACATGGCCATTTCTGACACTGGTCACATTATGGACTGGTATGCCAAACATCATTAACAGCTTACTGGAACGCTATTATTATTATTATTATTCCACAACAACTCAAAGTGACTAACAACCCCTTCCCTCAATACATACATCAAAACCAAAGGGGGGAAAAGATACATTAAAAACACCTCTTCCACTCCAGGTGATCATAGGTAAGTTAAAAACCGAAAGCCTGGTTAAAATGGAATGTTGTTACCTAAAGGTATCTAGTGATGTGCCAGGCGGGTCTCCCTGGGGAGAGCATTCCACAAATGGGGAGCCACTACTGAAAAGCACCAGAGTAGCTGTTATCTGCACATCAGCTTTCCACAGCCTGGTGCCCTACTGATACTGTGGACTACAGCTGCTGTCAACTCCAGCCAGTTTGGCCCACACTCAGGAGTGACGGAATTTTTCATTCCAAAATATTTGGAAGGAAAGACACCATGTTGGGGAAGACTGCAGTAGACACATGCATGGCTGTGACCCAAACTCTGTTCCAAGGGCAACCCGATGGAACAGGTTTGAAAAACACCTGCAGCCACATCGTCTGTGGCGAGTAAGAACTTTCCACACGTGTACAGCCATCTTGTGGAAACGCAAAACACAAGTGGTTCTGGCCAGGGGTTGTGCAATAGTTGCATGAACCAAAGATACAAAGATGATTACATTTCAGCCATGGCAAAGGGGTAGCCTGCATAAAGAAATGTAGGGGCTCAGTTACCACTAGTGGTGTTTTCTCCTTGAAAGTGCTGAGATATTAGCTATTTAACCAACCAAAGAAACAGAAAATAACTGCGCTTCCATACTCAACAAGGGTACACACACCACCAGTTCTTTTATGGTTAGTATTTGGTTGGGTGTTTTTCCCCTTTGGGTGAAGGTGGAATTCTTAGTACTCATATGGTAGGGATTACCTAAATTTGCAGGAGAAGCCGGTGATTTTATGCCCAGCTGTAGACACGATGGAGGGATCTGCTCTTCTCTGCACTGCCTGTAAATTAGAGGGTGTTTTAAAAGCAACCTCAGCTGTTATTCCCAGTTCACATCTCCTTTGTCATCAGGACGCATGTAAGTCCCCTGTTCAGTGGAACCTCAGTTGTCAAACGCTTCGGAAGTCAAACGATTTGGAACCTGAACGCCGACAACCCGGAAGTAAATGCTTCCATTTTTGAATGATTTTCGGAAGCTGAATGGCTTCCAAGGCACGTTTTTCATTTCTTTCCATTGACTCTGGAGCCAGCCCATTGATCCTTGGTTTTTGAACTTTTCAGAAGCCGAATGGTCTTCCGGAATGGATTCAGTTTGAAAACCAAGGTTCCACTGTACACTAATTTTGTGACCAATTCTTATTGCCATAGGCTTCCAAAGTTTCTTTTTACAGTAATTTGTCTGCTCAGGATCCCCTGCACATTGCAGAGGATTATGGGGTGCATTCTATGGCACACTGCATTTACACAAGGTGCCTGTTGCTCTAAATCTGAGCTGAGGAACCATTTTTTTAGCCAGAGGCCTACATTCTCTTCTAGACAACCTGCCTAGGGGACAGAACAAAGAATACACATTTCCCCCTTTGTACAGTATGCTTGTTTCTTTACACTCACACTTCCCTCTCTATTCTCCACCCAGGCAAGCAAGGGTCTTGTGTTCAGGGACACATTCCAAATTTGCAAAAAAACAAGAAACACCACACTCAAGGAGGGTGCCAGGCAGAGCCAATGGGGGTGTGCACCCTGGGGAAAGTCTCAAGAGCCAGAGAGGGTTGGAGGGTCACATTTGACTCCTGGGCCTAAGGTTCCCCACCCCTGCCCTAAATGAACCGAGTGCACACACTAAGACATGTTGACTGGAACTGTACTCTAGGATGCATCCAACACTCCCTTTGTGGCTGCATGCTTTACAAGACAATCTGTGGTTGTCAGAAACCTCTTACCAAGGAAACCTTAAAATGCCATCAATGCTTTTTCTATGGATGAACCCAAACTGTGTAGCCCAACAAGTGCTGAGAACCACATATCAGTTTCCAGTGCCTATGTCAGGGGTGGGAACCTGTGGCCCTCCACAGGTTGCTGTGCTACAACTCCCATCCTAACCTAGCCACTGGGCATGCTGGCTGTGGTTGACCGAAGTGCAAATGCAGCAACATCTGGAGTGCTGCAGGTTCCCCATGTTGACCCAAGACAGCAACAGCCACTAGCAAGAGATGGATTTAATCACAAGGAAAGCTGATTACCCAAGTGATTTCACCAAGCCCTCTTCCAAAGGCTGAAGTCACTCCCTGCCAAGGTGATGGCCTTCCAGTATATTCTGCCCACCCAGTCAAAATCTATCAAGGTGTCAAAACATGCATCTCTGGTCACTAGTTGTCCTTGTGTGCTTTCAGCCAAGCTTCTAGTGCTAAGGGCAGGTCAAGCAGATGCTTTCTTACCTTGAGTAGCCCTCTTTCTTTCTCCTACAAACATTTCAAGTCTTCCTAGAAAATAGGCCATCTCACCCTAAGAAGCCCAATTTGTGCCAAATAGTTCTCAAACCTCTTAGCTTATGGCGCTTTCAGTAGCTGCAAGGGTTTGGGTATGTGTAATTTTTATGTATACACAGAACTCTTGGAACCAAACCATGATGTGAGATGTGATCACACTGTAAATACACTTCCATCTACAATGGACACTTCATAGGGCAGATGCGGGTTCACATGACAGAATGCTTCTTCATACACCAGAAAAGAAAAAGAAAAAAAAGAGTCCGACCATGTACAAGACTCACATGCCAGGGAATAGGCAAGGCTTGAAACCGCCCCCACCCTCGCTGCCAAATACCCAAGTTCTCTATGTGGAAATATATTTGTATTTTGTTTTAATATAGAGATTCGATCAAGCTCCCTACCACCACCCAGCAGATTTACCAGCTGGGGGCAAAGAAGCAACTTGCAACTACCACAAATGAGTCTTCCTGCTTTCTTATGCTATTCCATAAATCACAGACTGCACAGACTCTCAGACCAAGCACTGGCAATTTGTTTGTACTGTACCTGAAATGAGGCACACCTAAACAGCTGTCCCAGGACACACAACATAAACGAGTATGGATACAGGCCTGGGAGCACAGAAAAAAATCACCTCATTGCAATGCCAGTGCTTTTCTTGAAGGCACAACCCCCTGTGCTAGCAATATACATAAATGGCATCACTTTCACAGTTACGAAACAACAGGTAGTCATTGGCAACTTCATCCAGGCCAAAGACACTGAATTCTGGAAGCTAGGCTTTTCCCATTGGTGGCAGCGGTAGTCAGACCTATAGGATGCAAATCTTCCAAAGCAGAAACTGAAATCCTTCAAGAGAAAACCAGCATCTGAAATTCAGTTAACTACTAAGAGAAGAACAAAACTTAATAGTTTCTTAAATAAACCCCAGATACCGGCTAGTCAGTCAGCCGATAACTTGTCCCTTACCTCAGTTTCACTCTCAGACTCTGCTAAATGTTTGTGTCCCATGTTGCACTGCAGCAAGATTTCAGGAGATTAACTTTTAACTCTCATTTGCAATCAGCTGAGATAGGTGTACAATAGTGAAAGACAAGCAGTAGCCCAGCTCAGTCATAACTGCTTCCTTTCTTGACATTTCTTTACAATCCTTTCTAGCATAGTTCTCTGGGGACTCGAAAGTCACCCAAACACCCATCCTCCCCACCTTAGAAAAGCCCAAGATCCATTCTTCCAACACAAGCCTTCCATCACCATCATATTGATTTCCCTTGTTCCCTGGTGAACAGCAACAATTTACCTCTATGCAGCTTGAAACTTTCGAAGAGTGAAGTTATTTTCCCAAATTGCTGGAAGAATCTCTGTATAGTGAAGGCCATCCCTGGTTAGGCTAGTTTCTCCCATGTGTCTAATGCTACAGGAGCAGGGAGGAGACAGCAGAGCAGGTGACTAAGCGCTGTCAGCTTTCTGCTTTCAAGGACCAAGGTAGGAACAAAAGCCCCATATGTCTGATCGCACCACACCCCTGCCTAGCCAGAGACAGGGCCATTCTGCCCAAACCGCCTTAAGTTTGAAAGCACCTATTGAAGAAGAAGCTGTGTGCAAACAACAGGGAAGCTCAAAGGCAATCCCTCCCCTGTCTCTCCCCCCAAGGAGGGCAGCATCTGTTCACCATGGCTACCTGATAAAAGTGTTGCATGCAGCAATCCAAAGTGGGAGGCACAGCCTGCATAAAGGAGAAGCTGATCCTGACAGCTGAACAAAGCTGATCCCCCACACCCCCTTATAGTCCAGGTCTGTTGACACAGAAGCATCCCTTCTGTGCTCAACAGGACTTGCTCCTGGACATGCCTGCAGCCTCAAATCCCACATCACCAGTGCAGGTCACCATGTGCCAGCAGACGAACTTATCTCCCCTGCAAGGAGGCCCAGCTCATCCTCACAAGCCAGATAGACCCCCACCACCAGCGCTACCCTCACGCACACACCCCCAAAGCCAATTTCCTGTGGGGGGGGGGAGAGCATCTAAGCTCAGCCCAGGAAGCACAAGCATGGGATTTAAGGCCAGCTTCCAGCCCAGGAAGCAGGAGAAAAGAGAGGAGGAGGGGCGCAAACTCCAGGGATCCTGCCCTACTTTGCAGGTGAGCTCTGTGGCAGGGTTCGCATCAGCCACAACAAGCCTCCCCACCCCCCACTACAATTAAGAAACTAAACCAACCACGAACACGCGCTCCTGTTGGAGAAATGCATCGATGAAGGGAGTGAAAAAGCAATGCGGTTCCAGCCCAGGTCTTGCCGGAGAAGAGGACGACTACGGTGCTTCTGCACCCCCCCCCCTTTAACAGCTGAGCACCATCGCGCGGGTGCACTCGGCGCGACCCCACCCCACGGGGTGCGTGGGCTTCCGCAGCGCCTCCCGCGCCCCCTGTCAAGACGGGGCCCGCAGCCTCCCAGCCCCACCAGCTGCAGGGATTCTCACCGGCTCCTCTTCGCCCCCGCTGCTGCCGCCTCCGCTGCTGCTGCTGCTGCTGCTGTCCCCCAGCAGGCCCTGCAGGCGGCGCCAGCTCCGGCTGAGGCCCAGGAGGATCCCCAGGGTGGTGTCCGTCGCGGCCCGCTCCCCGTCCCCAGGAGCGGCCCAGACCAGCAGGCGCGGCGCCAGCAGCGAGACCCTCGCGCGGCTGCCGGCCCCTGCGCCCCGCGCGCGGCACCCGCCGGGCCGGCCGGGGAAGCGGCCCCGCGCCTGCGAGGCCCCGGACGAGCCGCCGCTGCTGCCGCCGCCGCCTCCCGCCGAAGCCGCCGCCGCCGCCATCTTTAAACACTGAGAGGAGCCCAGGGGGGCCGGGCCGCCACAATAACAATCCTCCGCAGGAGCCTTCAAGCGCCGAGCGCGGGGCAGCCTGGGAGCCCGAGTCCCGCCGAGGGGGGCTGTGCAATGCGACGGGAGGGAGGGCGCGAGGGGAAGGGACCGCGCTTCCCGTCGGCCGCCGCGCCCCGGAAGTGGCCCTCTGTCGCCGCTGTGCACCATGGGAAGGGAAGTCCGCCGCTTGGACGGAGCCCCGCCGCGTGAAGCGAAGCGGGCGGAGGGGAGGGACTACGTCTCCCGTGAGGCACCGCGGCCGACACCCGAGCTAAGCTGCCCTCCGGCGTGGTGGGGCGACTGAGGCGGCTGTAAATGGCTGCTCGCGTAAGGGGTGAAGAGCGGGGCGTGTGCCTGAGAGATAAAGAGTCGGGTTCAGCCCGGGCAATGAAGGCAGGAGCCGTGGGAGGCCTGAAAGAGCGAATGAGGAACGAGTCCATTTCGCGTTCGGGGCGAGAAGGAAGGCGCGGCGGCGGCAAGACTACAGCTCCCAGCATGCAGCGCGAGGCTCGGTCTCGTTTGGAATGCACCCTGGGAGTTGTAGTCGGGGTGGGGCTGGACGGCGCGGCCCGTAGAATGCTGTCACAGAGAGATCCCCGAAGGGACGATGAATGAAGGACGCCACTGCCCCAGCGAGCAGCCCTGAGGAATAGCGTCCTGCAGCAGGCAGAGCATCGCCGCGACCGTTTATCGCGGTGGGGAGAGAAGAAACACAGTTTCCCTCCATTTGACAGTGGTGAAGCCACGTTAAGCCGACAAGTCCTCTCCCGCTCTGAACTTAAAAGTTGCCGAAGTTTGGGGAGAATGAATGAATGAATGAAGATCGCGCGCGCGCGCTCCCTAAACGCGACGAAGTAAAGAACCTGCAGCGACGGGACAGACAAACCCAAACGCTGAATGCCTCTGCATGCGAGATTTGGGGCTGTGCGAGTGAGACACGGAACGCGTGCGGGATAGAGTGAGAATTTAGGGAGGAAATGGTACAACAGCTTTCCCGCCCCGAAAAGGCAGATAAACCTGAAAAAGCAGGATCTTTATCACGTTGTTGGATATACAAAAGATTTCACGAAGCAGGAACAGGAATGTTTACGAAGGTGCGGAGTGGAGGCTGAGGGAGAGACACTTTCAGTCTATTCATCCCTCCCAATTCCCTCGGGGAAACGCAAGTTTTTGGCCACTCTCGTGTTCAGGCTGAATGAAACATTTACAAGTGCATTTATGTTTCAAAGGATCAGCCAACTCCCAAACCGGTCTTCCCTCATGTTGAAACGTACTGTATCTCTCTCTCTAAGCCAACTAAGATGCCAGAATGCACTGCACCACTTGGGCTGCAAGTCAGGCTGCTCTTTAAAAATTGCTATTTTGTTTAAAAACAAAACATGACGTACAAGTGATTCTTTAATGGGGGGGGGGAACCCATGGCGAAAGCTTCTAGCACACCTTGCTCCCTGATATGCTATGATACCAGGTATAGGGTGCTTAAAAACACAAAACCCAAGGAAGCATTACAAAACAAAAACCAGCCACCACCAGCCGTCTGAAGTCATACATTTCTTTCTGACACCCTAGGATGCTAACACATATTCTCCATCTCCACCAGCTGTCTGCGTAAACCAGATCCAGTGGCACCACCCTAGAGGATTACTCCCAGGCAAGCTTGTATATGGGATTGCAGCCCCAACTAGGGTTGCGTGCCTAACATACATTTAAAACACATGACTCCCCCCCCAAAAAAATAATAATCCTGAGAACTGTAGATTTCCCCTCACAGAGCTACCATTCCCAGCACCCTTAATAAACTACAGTTCCTAGGATACTTTGGTGGAAGGCATGTGCTTTAAATATATGATGCAGATGCAGACTAGCTAGTTTACGGTTTCAGCAGAATCACAGAATCAGACTGCACAGTTACCAGCCCAACACACTGTCAAACTGAAGGAGGGCAGGGAGCGTTTAAGCATTTTGTTAATTTTTCTACCTGAGCAGAAAGTCTCCCACAATGTTTAAGGACATGTTTGCCAGAATTTGTTTGGCTTCCTTTGTGTCATCTTTCTTTTTTTAACCTGGCTTTTTCTGATAGACCCAAGGTTGCTACATAATGTGCCAGTTACATTTTAATCCTCCTCTTGGAAATCACATTGTTACTCCTAAGTCTTAATAGACACATAGAATTACTCTTTGAACTTGCCCTCCAAAACACCTTATTTTGTTTCTTATTTAAAATACTAATCAGTCTTCAGTTCTTTTCTAAATGGGATCAGAGCAGCTATCGGTCCATTACAATGCCGCTAAGCAAAACACTTGTTGTTGTTGTTTAGTCGTGTCCGACTCTTCGTGACCCCATGGACCAGAGCACACCAGGCACTCCTGTCTTCCACTGCCTGCCACAGCTTGGTCAGACTCATGCTGGTAGCTTCGAGAACACTGTCCAGCCATCTCGTCCTCTGTCATCCTCTTCTCCTTGTGCCCTCAATCTTTCCCAACATCAGGGTCTTTTCCATGGAGTCTTCTCTTCTCATGAGGTGGCCAAAGTATTGAACCCTCAGCTTCACAATCTGTCCTTCCAGTGAGAACTCAGGGCTGATTTCCTTCAGAATGGATAGGTTTGATCTTCTTGCAGTCCATGGGACTCTCAAGAGTCTCCTCCAGCACCATAATTCAAAAGCATCAATTCTTCGGCCATCAGCCTTCTTTATGGTCCAGCTCTCACTTCCATACATCACTAAAGCAAAACACTACAAGTAGTAAAAAGATGCAACAATTTGGAAGTAAGAGTGCATAAGATCGCAGCCCTAGAGATAAAAACCCACAAATCTTTTCCCACCAGGGGGAAGAAAGACATTCCTTTAAAATACTGATATTCTGCTTTTTCATCTCAAGGCAACTCCTTGATGGGAGTTGCAGTCCAAAACATCTGAAGGAAACGACATTAGTTGCCCCAGCTTAGTAAACATCTAGACTACCCTTTAGCATGAGACTTTGTGGGAGTTGCACACACTAAAAACAACAGACAGTAAAAACACTATACAGTGGTACCTCGCAAGACGAATGCCTCTCAAGACGGAAAACTCGCAAGACGAAAGGGTTTTTTGTTTTTTGAGCTGCTTCGCAAGACGATTTTCCCTATGGGCTTGCTTCGCAAGACGGAAACGTCTTGCAAGTTTGTTTCCTTTTTCTTAACACCATTAATACAGTTGCGACTTGACTTCGAGGAGCAACTCATAGCACGCGGTGTGGTAGCCTTTTTTGAGGTTTTTGAAGACTTTGGTGATTTTTGAAGCTTTCCCAAAACTTTTCCGACACCGTGCTTCGCAAGACGAAAAAAATCGCAAGATGACAAAACTCGCAGAACGAATTAATTTCGTCTTGCGAGGCACCACTGTAAATTGTTGAGGAGGCTCTCTCAATTAACTGGAGAAGTTCACACAGGAGAAGGCAGTTTGTAACACTGTATACTGCTTCTCGGCCATCATGGTTCTCAAAGTAGTTTGCAAGAAGGAAAATGAAATATAATAACTACTGAAACAATATAAAGCTTTGATAGGCATGAAACCAGCAAGCAAAGCAAGTAAAAAGAAAACAAAGCCCTAAGAGTGTCTGGAAATGGTGCAATGAAATAAATATATTTAATTGCCTACAAAAGGATGGTTGGGGTTTATTAACAGGCATCAAGGAGGGGAATGTCAGAGATGAATGGTGTTCTTGAACTGTTACGTTTACCTGGATGTAGCCTACTGGGTGACAGTGACATCCATTGCCCCGCCCACTCTTGCATCTGGCCACATCCTCCACTGGCATGTGGCCCCCAGAGGGTTACCCATGAGGCAATGTGGCCCTTGGGCTGGGGGGGGGGAAATCCCAGCACTGTGTGAGTCAGAGGACAGAGAGGAAAGACAGAGATTGTGGTATAAGTCACCTTATACAATCTAATCTAAATATTTGCAAAATATATTTCCTTGGAAGTCAATGCCACTGAGTTCAATGGGAGCCACTCTGATTGTGTAAAGCCGTTCTTCAGATTTGTTCTCCTTCCCCTTTCTTCTTGTTAAAAGAACATCTTATTGTAAACTGTTCAAAGAGCTTTATTGTAGAACATAAATGCAGTACAATGAAGAAAAATAAGTGTGGATCTCTAAAGGAGAGGTGTTGGGGCTTATTATGTGTCTGCAAACCACCATCAAACTAATGTGAGCGTGTGCATATGTGGGAGGGGGCAGACTAGCTGTGGTCACTCTTCTGCGAGGGAAGACCACTCTGCACATGCCTGCGGACACTTTGAAATCACTCCACACATTTGAGGAAGACCCCTGTATTAAGAAGAAAGTTCAGGGCTGAGCTCAGATATAGGCCCCTATCTGCACTGTACAGCGAAAGTGGTATCAGACCACTTTTAAGTGGTTGTGGCTTCCCCCAAATATTCCTGGGAAATGTAAAGGGTGATGAGAGTTGTTAGAAGACCCCTGTCCCCCCAGAGCTACACTTAGCATAATTCCCTTGGAAGAGGAATTGACTGTTAAACTACTCTGAGCATTGTAGCTCCGTGAGGAGTTGATCATCAACAACAACAACAGGGGTCTAGTAACAACTTTCAGCACCCTTAACAATCTACATTTCTCAGGATTCTTTGCGGAGGGAGCCACGACTGTTTACAGTTTGATACTGTTTTAAATGTGTGGTGTCGACGAGGCCAAATATTGGGCCCGAGTGTGGGAGAAGAACCATGTTTAGGACCTGGTAGGTGTTGCATCCTGCAGAGCTGGAGAGTTCACAGGAGTTCGGATTTTGCAGAAGAACCCAGGAAGAAGTCTAAAAGACCAGAGCGATCTGCTCTAGTGCTTTATTAAAGAGAAATGAAAAGGCTTACAGCAACAGCAATCTGCCAGCTCCGCTCCGCTTATAAACAGCACCCGTGGGATGGACTCCACAGCAAGGAGATGACTTGTCTGATGATGGACTGTTCGCATCCAAACAAAGATACTCCCGTTCTTTGTCCAATAGAACAGCATATACTTCACATGGGAAAACAGGTGGCCGATACCTCAAACATTACCGATGTTTCCCTTTTCTGGGCTCTGCGCCCAACTTCCGAGGCCCACAGATAAGGGTGCCATCCCAACAGGCCAATTAGTGGATATCAAAGCAAGTTGTGTATGAGCTTAGTGCTACAGCCACTACCAATTAAGGACAGGGTCATTTTGACTATCAACACGGCAGAAGCAGAGCTTCCGGAACAGTCCACCTTTGGGTGAACACAGTAGGCCTCAGTGCATAGGAGCCAACTCCAAGGGGCCAAAGTCCCTTTGTCCCCCCTTAAATATTTGAGAGGGCCACCCCCACCACAAGGTTGATGGGCATTGCCATTCAAATGGTGTCCATGCACAGTGTCATGTGATGGATTATGCGGGGTAGTGCTTTCTCTCTCCCCCCCCCCAATAATTTATTCAAGTTTACACCCTTGCATCAGCTTAGAAAGGAGATCCTATATCAATTGCTCAGTGACAAGGGCACGTGATTTCCATACAGAAGATGCCAAATTCGATTGCAGGCATCTCCAGAAGGAAGGAATTCATAGGAAAGACTTCAGAAGAGATCTTGAAGTCAGGATGCTTGACTTGAAAGATAAATAGCCTGACTGGAGCCAAGGCACCTTCCTATGTTCCTGTAGCAGGGATGGACGCCATTGGATTACAGCCCCCATCATTCCTGACCATTGGCAACAATGGGTGGGGCTGATGAGAGTTGGAGTCCAGCAACATGTGGAGGTTCGCAACTGTCCCCTACCCATGGCCCTGAATTGTAGACCATCAAGGAGATGCCTCTTTCATCTTTGGGCAGGAATGCACCTTCGGAAAGGCAGAAATCCCACAGGTAGCAAAGCTTGCTGCACCTGTTGGATTTCTTTCCTTTTTTTGGAAAATGATTTTTATTTGATTTTACAAATTCATTCACACACAAAATTACAAATACAGTGGTACCTCGGGTTAAGTACTTAATTCGTTCCGGAGGTCCGTACTTAACCTGAAACTGTTCTTAACCTGAAGCACCGCTTTAGCTAATGGGGCCTCCTGCTGCTGCCGCTCCACCAGAGCACGATTTGTGTTCTCGTCCTGAAGCAAAGTTCTTAACCTGAAGCACTATTTATGGGTTAGCAGAGTCTGTAACCTGAAGCCTATGTAACCCGAGGTACCACTGTAATAAAAATTACACAAGATTCTTTCAAATCTTGAGACTTCCCTCCTGCCCTTCGAGGGTTCTTTAGTTAACCTTTTCAACCGCATACTATAAGTCCTCCTAATTTTTCAGTCCTCCATTATATCCAAAGTCTATGTACCATAACAAGAGTTATTTAAGACCTGCCAAAGGATTCAAGTGTTTACAGTGCTCTGTCAAAGATAATACTGTATAAATTTCTCCCATTCTTTGCTGAAGTTTTGATCCTCCTAGTTTCTGATTTCCCCAGTCATTCTTGCCATCTCTGCACAATCCTTTCATTTAGTCTGCCAGTTCACTCTGGCAGGGACCTTGTCGTCTTTCCAACTTTGGGCAAGCAGCAGCACCTGTTGGATTTCTACCGCGCGGTTGCAAAAAAACCCAAAACCAACACGAGGAAGGAAGCGCGGAAAGCGAGCCAGCCGGCAGCAGAGAACCGCCGCCGCCGCTGTAGCACCAGGGAAGCCATAGAACAGCTTCTCCCGTCCGGCGGCTGCGCTCCACGTCGAGCGCAAGAGCAGCTCTCCAGCAGAGATTAAGATGGCAACCTGGGGCGGGCGGGCGCGCGGGGCTCGCCCCGAGGAGGCGGGCTGGGGCAGCCGCGCCCCTCCCCTGGGGCGGCCGGGACTGCGCTCTGGCCGCGGGGCGCTCTCGGGGCGGGGCGCGCGCAGCGTCGGGCCGAGCCCAGCCTGGAGCGGGTGAGTCAGGTAGGAGGCTGGCGGGCTGTGAACGCCCCTTTTTGCTCCGCTCCTCCCCTCTTGGTGGAAGAGAGAGAGAGAGAGAAAGTAACTGAGCCACCTCTTCGCCGCCTCTCCTTTCCCGCACAGAAAATGTCCGGGCTGCAGATCAACTTGGGACCCGTGAAGGAGCCGCTGGGCTTCATCAAAGTCCTCGAGTGGGTGAGTCCTCGACGGCAGGGGGATCGGAGAGCGGGGCTGGGCCAGTGGCCACAGAGGGGTAACGGGTTTTTTTGGGAGGGTGGGGGAGGTTGATCACCGCGTTTCCTGGCAGGATCTACCCTACCCACCCCCAACCCCCCCGGGCAGGTATTGGCTGCGAGCCCTGCTTGGCTCTCCCGCTGGAATTCCTTCCTGCCTTCCTCCCTTCATAAACACAGGCGTGGCCTCCGGCCTGTACTTTTCGAAGCTCGCTTAGATTTGCAGGGGACTCGTGTGTATTTCCAGCCCACCCCGCTCCAGGGATCTATTCTGGGCCGCTTCTAAACACATACACACACACACACCCTTGCATAGTTGGTGCAGGGCGGGGACGTCTGTTGTGTTCTATTTCCAAACAAACCATGTGCTTCAGAGTGGGGATCTGGTCATGGGAGGGCTGGAGGGAGTTGGGAACGAGAGATCACGCAGGCAGGTTAATGGAGCCTTCCGGCTCCCAGCCGCTTGTGCAAAACCTGGACTTGTCCTTCCGTGCGTCACGTTGGAAGGAGCAGCACGTGTGCCAAAAGTGACCTGTAGTTTTATGCCCTGCAAGGTAATAAACTTTTAGCCGGATTGCAGCGGGTGAACTTCATGGTGTGGAGGAGATCCAGTCTCTTTAGGTCAGTGGACCGTGGAGTAGAAATTGGCCCACTCTCATAATGCAGATTGAGGATTATTTTGGCTCAAAGGAGTTTTTACTCTGGGGGCAAAAGGGACCCCAATGTCTGTACTTGAGGCCGGACTCTGTCAAGTCACTTCAAGGGAGTGCAATGCAGGACTTTAGCATATCCTTGTTGGGAATCCTGGAGATGTGCTGTCAATCAGAGGAGACCACCCTGAACTATCAGTTAAAAGGCAGTTTTCTATGTTCCTATAAGTAGGAAGGAACAGGTTGTGGCCTGAGATGTTTTGGCGCCTGAGGCTCCCCACGCTGGGGAGGTGCAGCATGTGGAACTCTGTAAGCAGTGTTAGAAACTACGATATGAAAGCTAGGAGCTAAATGGCACCTTAAACCTAGGTTATGGGCGCAACAACGGAACGTCTAGGTGCGCTTTTTAAATAACGAAGAATACAGAGCTGAAAATGAATGAACTGCACCTAAAATAATTATGTTCGTTTTTCACATGGTCTAGTCCTTCCCCTGCCCACCCTGCTAATATTCTTAAGAGGGTCTCTTCTCCAGTCTTCAGTGAGTAGCTGGAAGTGGGGAGGCAGAAAAAGGTCCTCCTTTCCTTCCACTCTGCAGTTTTAATCTGAAAATTTAGGCGCAGAACTGCGCCCAGAGCTCAGAAACGGCTTGCACTAATGAAATTCCATGTTGTGAAATGCACCTAGAACAGTGGGAGCTATGCAGAACTAGATAAATTAACAGGAAGGATTCGAAATCTGCGGGACCAGAAATTCACAGAAGACTGGTGTAAATTAACAGACTACTTGAAAAGTAATTGTGATGATCAGACTACGTTTGTAGGTTTGCAAGAAGTTTTGTGGTGAATTATTGGAACTATTGCAAAAATGGATAAAGGGGAGGATGGTTAGTTAAGATAATTAAAGGCAATATGAATTTAAGAAATGCATAAGAAGTGGTTAAAACGGTGGATCATCAGAGGTGCTGATGGAAGTCCAAAAAAAAAAAGATTGTATAAGTGGTGAAGCTTTGTGGTATGTATTATGTTAAAATTAATAAAAAATATTTTTTTTTTTTAAAAAAAAAGAACAACAGGAGCGTCAAGCACTGCTTCCCCTTACGAGCGGGGATGGGGTGCAAACTCCACAAGGGTTTCTGGAATACAGTCTTACCTTGGTTGTTGAATTTAATCTGTTCCGGGATTCTGTTTGACTCCCAAAACAGTTCGAAAACCAAGGTGTGGCTTCCGATTGGCTGCAGGAGCTTACTGCACTCAATCGGAAGTCGCGTTGGACGTTCGGCTTCCAAAAAACGTTCGCAAACTGGAACACCCACTTCCGGGTTTGCGGCGTTTGGGAGCTGACTTGTTCGGGAGCCAAGCCGTTCGAGAACCAAGGTTACCACTGTACCTCCCTCTCACCAAGACTGGGAGAGAAAACATCTACACATTAAGGAAAGTGCACACAATACTGTATCTATATAGGGTTCTTGGGTCACGAGAAGCACTCCACCACAGTTATTTCACCTGTATTCTGACAGGTACAGACTTGCAGAATGTAGGTGTGGAGGGCACGCTTGAATGCTTCTCCATGTGAAAACCAATTCTCATTTGTGCATAGGAAACAATCGTGTCGGTAACAAGGCTGGTCTGCAACTCGTCTTCCTGACACACCATGGCTTTTCATGGTTGAGGTTTTGTTTTGTTTTTAGACCCAAGGCAGTATGCAATCGTTCAGTTTCTCCTCCTTGCATTTTGAGTGGTGCAGGCTTGCATAAATGGTGCCGCTGGCTATTTTGAGCATTTATTTTCAAAATATGAAAAGCACTCCTGGTTGGGCACATGAAAGTGTGCATAAATATCCATTAAAGCAGTGTTCCCCAACCTTGGGCCTCCAGCTGTTTTTGGACTACAATTCCCATCATCCTTCACCACTGGTCTTGCTAGCGAGGGATGATGGGAGTTGTAGTCCAAAAACAGCTGGAGGCCCAAGGTTGGGGAACACTGCATTAAAGTAAATTGAGAGAGGGAGAGAGGAACCCCCAAATCACAAAGCAGCCCCCAAACCTCTTAGCCATCTTGTAGTTCCTTGGCAATCCCAACATCTGGAATTTGCACAATGGCTCTATCCTTTGCTTTTTATTTGGAGATGCGGGAGTTGGAATAACTTTGGACACTAATGGGGAGGAGGGGGTTAAATAGTTTTTCATAGGAGTTTTTTCAGCAGGAACTCACAGGAACTCAGTTCTGGCACCTCTCAGGTGGGCGCCATTGCCATTAAAAGACAACAAGGGAGGCGTTCATGGTGAGTTCCGGCACCTCTTTTTCTAGAAAAATAGTACTGATTTTTCATGACATTGATTACAGTGGTACCTCGGGTTACATACGCTTCAGGTTACAGACGCTTCAGGTTACAGACTTCGCTAACCCAGAAATATTACCTTGGGTTAAAAACTTTGCTTCAAGATGAGAACGGAAATCGTGCAGCGGCGGCGCGGCGGCAGCAGGAAGCCCCATTAGCTAAAGTGGTGTTTCAGGTTAAGAACAGTTTCAAGTTAAGAACAGACCTCTGGAACAAATTAAGTTCTTAACCCAAGAACAGACCTCTGGAATAAATTAAGTTCTTAACCCAATGTACCACTGTCTATACAGAGGCATTTCCAGAGGCATTTCCAGGGATTCCCAAAGTTGTTAGATAGATTGTGGTCACTTTGGGGTTGCAGTACAAAGGAGGAGAGAAAGGTTATGAGTCTCTAGCTACTGTGGGCAGTTGCTTAAGCCTGGCAACAGTGGGCATTTTTATATCTGAGGTTTAAATTAGTAGGTGCTTAAACATGCATGCGTTGTTTACCTGTGGTCTTAAGCCAAACCATGGCTTAAGCATGAATGAATGAGTGGACAGGTCAAGAGGAAAAATGACAGCCACTTTGCTCCTTCCCCAGTCCATCTGAGCCTCATGGCTCATGGTTTGTCTCACTCCAAACAAAGTACAGTGGAACCTCGTGTTACGGACGGGATTCATTCCGGAGGCCTGTTCGTAACACAGAACTGATGTAAGCTGAAGCACTGTGCCTGTGCGTGGCGTGATTTAGCGCTTCTGCACGAGTGGTGAAACCTGGAAGTAATCCGTTCCAGTACTTCCTGGTTGCTGTGGGACGCAAGATGAAAAAACGCAACCTGAAGCGGACGCAACATGAGGTATGACTGTATGAGCTGTAGCCAAGGTTTGTTCTTGGGTTACTGCTCATGGTTTGTCTGGGACAGACAAGTCACAAGCCAGGGTTTGGATGTAACACTATGCCAAACCATAGCTCTGAGTAAGCGCAGCTGCAGCAGCCAACAGGATTGGAGGAGGAGAAAAGTGGTTGTGTCTTGGCTTGCTCATTCATGCTCAGCCATGGTTTGGGTTGAGTATTGCCTGCAAACTGGGGCAAACACAGAAAAATACAAACCTTAAGGCATTAGGGCTGCAATGATATGCTCAGCCTGGGAGTTACATCTATTGAACCCAATGGGGATATTCAAAGTAAATATGTATAGGATTGTGTTGTAAGATGTGTAGTTAAGCTTACAAAATTCATAAATATGCTCCTACCTTCACTTATTATTTGATCTAGTAAATTCACTTTTAAAAAATAAATAAATCACATTATCTCTTTAAATTTTACTTGGATGCAGCATCCAATCTATACCCCATTCATTTCTAATATATTGAGTCATGGTTCCTAATATGAGTGTACATTATTGATGTGCTCTGCAACAGTGTAAGCTTAACTCTCAAATGTATGTTTATGTATTAATTCATTAAAATTGATTTAAAAAATACTTTGCAAAAAAAAAAATGACCCGGGGAAAAATATTAAAAAGGGAAGAAAGTTTGGTTTCAAATAGGGCTATAATGAGAGTATGAAGTATAGTATACCTTTGCTAGAAAGTACTTTCAGTTTCAGTCTCTTGTGAGATGAGGTTGAATTTTCCATGTCCTATGGAAACGCACAAGAGTGTTTGCATAGTGAGGTAGTGGGGGAGGCAGATCTGGATCTACTCATAGATCTGAGTGATTTTGCAATAGTTTAGTCTAGATTGCTGACTCCCAGTTGTTTAAGGACAGCAACACGGAAGATTTTCCCTCTTACTAGTTAGCGGCCTATTAGAAACTCTGATCTTTTTATAGGTAGGGATGGCAGATAAATTTGATTCAGTTTGCATTTAAAGGCAAACATACCTAAATCACACCTTTATGAAGCAGTACAAGAACTGAAATTCTCCAAGCGTTGCAGTGCAGTTCTCTAGCCAAATAATGTGTTCAAAAATGTATAAACTGGGATAAAGTGT